TACATCTTAGTGATCAAATGTCCAATCACTGAGAAGAATGGCTCGCGGAGCGAGCCGAATGTCACTCGCGTAGCGAGTGACCGGGGGTCCAGGGGGCGTAGCCCCTTGGCTGGCCGTGACGGACGCGCAAAGCGCGTCCAGAACGGCTAGTATTTAAATAAACATGGAATTCGCTAGCACACTGCTTCATTGTCAAGCATGGCTTGAATTTACATTGTTTCGCTTACATTGAATCGGATAAAAGCTCAATACTTCGGTTTTTTTCCTCATAAAATCTACCAGAGCTGAAGGAGGAAAACCTTCCAAAATATCAATACAATTTTGATTTGGAAAGAGCGGACATTGAACAAGTTACTTTTTTCATCCAGGTGCACACCTCGGTCAATTCCAACACACACTGGGAAAAAAACACATTGGATCTAGAGTCCAGACTCTTAAAAACATCGACAAGAAAAAGCACTCTTGATTCAATCAGAATCTGGCATAAATCAAGAACCAAGCCTCTTAATTTAAGCGGATATTTTTTTAACTCAAGCAAAAGTCCGATTGAATCAACGGTAATTTTTCTTGTCAATTTTTTCAAGAGCCTGGACTCTAGATCCAATGTGTTTTTTTCCAGTGTTTCGCGGCAAATTGAGAAAAATCAAACGAATTGCAAGATTTTTTGCTGCTCAAAAGAAGTGAAATACGGAATAGCAGCCGAAGATACTCTCCTCTACACTTGCAGCATCGACTTATGACGTCAAAACGGACCAACATTCTTCCGTCCATCCGTCGCGTCGCGTCCGAGTGCCGTGAGGGTCAAGACACGAGCGTCGCTGCTCCCATCGCCGGAGCGGAAAAACAGCGTATCTCCCCGAATCCCCCACCGCAGGTCGGAGCTTTTATCGTCGCTGGAACCGATCGTCGCGGCGTGTACGTCCTCTCGTCCTCTCGAGTGGAATTTCCGGATACTCGTCCCCGAATATAAATTGGGCTTAATGAAAAGCCGAGGAATGGACTACGGGAAGTCGAAACCTCGTATTCCCGTACCCCTATGAGCCTTGAAATGCATGATAGTATGCAGAATTCGTGGCTCATGGAGGGAGGGATATGTGCGGTTTTGAAATCGACGGGATGGAATGGGCCGCGCGCGCTGGCTGGAGCCCGGGAAAGAAGAAAAAGTTATAGGCGCTTAAGCTACTTGTCAACTATTCAAAGTGATCTTTTTACGGCCGAGGCTTCGAATAAATCACGGAACCCCCCCGTGCATATGGACCGCCCTGCGTTCCTCTGGAACCTGTTTCCCCTCTGCGTTTGTTTACAGCTTTAATTAGAGGCTCGGAAAGCTCGACCTGTAGCTTTTGTCGGTTGAGTTTCTGAAGTTTTAGGCGAGGAGAATCGAAACAGGAAAAAATCTGGTTTTATTTGGGAAAATGCGCCTTTTGTATGTTTTCAGTGATGAAAGAGAGAGAAAAAGGAAAATTTCGAACTATGCACACAAGAAAGGAAGCAAAGGAGGGGTATCGATAAGGGCCTTTATAGGGCCCAATTTAGCTGAATTTTCTCAAATTTACGATTTTTGATCATTAAGGGTCTATATTCTAGGGAAAAGATACATATTTTTATAGAGCAGCCCGAGACAATGATGACAGTAGAAAAAAGGAGGAAAAAAACGGGAAACAAGGCTAAAATACACAAATAAAAAGAAACCGAGACATTTCGACTCAAAACTGAGTCTTTTCAGTCGGATATAAAATAAAAATTAAAGAAACTGGATATTCTACTGTTCTAGGGAATTCATAATGATTTGGTCATTGCTGGTCTCTTCTCTGGTCTCTGATTAGGTTCTCAGGTCTAAACGGACGTATTTCTGCCAAGCGGAACTATGTGCATTAAGACACGAGCCCTGAGGCCCATAAGAATACATGCATAACAGGGCTCACGTCATAATCCACATAGTTCCGGCTGGCAGAAATACGTCCAAATGTGAGTCAGAAGGCCGATTTTGACGAAAAAGGCATCCGCTTTCTTCCCCAAAATCAGCCTTCAGACGCATGTTTAATTGTTTAGGCCAGCAATGGCCAAACCATGATGCATTCCGTAAAATACAGATCTCTTTGAGAAGAAAATCGTAGATTTGTATTGAGGAAATTCAGCTATGGGCCCAAAACCGGCCCTTATCGATACCGCTTCTTTATTAAACACTCTTCAAAGTTATATTTAAACATAACTTTCATATTTGAACAAAAAGCAACAATTTCCAATCCGCTTGATAATGTGACGGCAGCCTCCACATCTACAAAATACTTATTCAGGAAGGGAATTCGGATAATATTTCACAAAAATCCTCACTAAGCCTCCTGCCGCAGCATCCAAAGTGTGGGGAGTGGGGAGTCAGCCCGAAAGCAAAACAGACAAAATCGACGGAACGGAGCGAGGGCACGTATACGTGAATTTGAGCTATTACGAACATCAGTTGTATTGTCTGTAATAAGAAGCGGTTCCAGGGGATGTTCGGATCTTAAGAGGGTGTTCTTAACTACCCTCCTTATGATGCGCTGTTATGAAATTAGGGAACTTCTGGGTGCCGCGGCTGTCCGACCTCATATCGTCCTTCTTCTAACATATAAACACAACCATTTTCTAATTTGAGCCCTCTCGTCCCTTTAACTTCATACTTTCCAAGGTTCACGAGAAAAGGGATTTACGCCCTTTCGCATGTCGTAAGTCCCAGCTGCAGCGCGCTTTTTTCCGCCACGAAAGTGAGGGGTTTCGGCGGAGGGGGTTGGCGGGAAGGGGTGTGTGGATTTAATTAGAACACCTCTCGCCCCGGCAGCAATTCCTGTCATCTTTATATTAAATTTTTGGAGCTCATACTGACGTATGAAGAGTGCGCTCTCTCAGTCACTCAACTTTGTCGTTAATGGCCGATGAAACATCGCTGATGGCCCCCTATGCGCGAGAGGGAGGGGCCTTAATGACTGCCGCGTCCGCGTTTGAGACGTAAATGCATGTATGGTGTGTTTCTCGATGTATTTACACGCCGAGCGCATTTGGCTGATATGAGGAGGAGGAAAGATTTTATCGAATCACTGCAAGTGGGGCCACGGGCAAAATACGAAATACAACACTCTGATAAAAATCGTCTCCTCAAATGTAACGTAGGATATGATTCACACAACAGGAATAGAATTGAAAAAAAAAAAACGGATCAAATGAAGTATACGCTTCTGAAGGTTGAATTACCCTTAAATATTGTTACTGTAACAGGGATGCGTGGTAACGAGTGCACAGTTTCGTGGGTAAGATTTCACAATGCAAGAAAGAATGGAGGTCTTGCATGTGTATGGGATTTCTGATTCAAGAACTTTTTCTTCCGTAACATTTTGTGAAAAACACGATGGTGTGACTGGTTTTCCCGAAACCGAACTTCAAGGCTCAAGAAAAGCTCTCGCAGTCGAGGTGGACACAGAGTGGAATGTCCCTCCATTACGGCCTTAACTTTGAGAGGATTTATTTAGGTTTCGGAGTTCATTTTCGAGAAAATCAGCGACACCATCTTGTTCTTCGCGGAATTTCACGCCAGAAAGAGTGATTAAATCGCAAATACCCCACACTTGCAATTTAAGAGCTCCATTTAGGGTAATTTCTATTCTTTCTTGCCCCTTACTCATCGTTCTTAAATCTTATGATAGTTGTACAAACGATAAAAGCCGCAGTATTTTCAACCTGCAAACCCTCGGATCCATCTGCAATCGGACGCATTTCTGCCAAAAGGAACTATATGCATTAAGACATGAACCCTCAGACCCACAGAAGTACTTGCATAACACGGCTCACGTCATAATACACATAGTTCCGTTTGCCAGAAATACGTCCAATTGGAAAATTTGCCAGTTGAGAAGAGCTCAGAGAGAAACCCGTCGAAACGGGGAGAGGGTGGGGTGGGGCTAGACAAAAGGAACTATATGCATTAAGACATGAGCCCTGGGACCCATTAGGGCACATGCATAACAGGGCTCACGTCATAATACACATAGTTCCGTTCGGCAGAAATACGTCCAATTGGAAAATTTGCCAGTTGAGAAGAGCTCAGAGAGAACCCCGTCGGAATGGTGGAGGGAGGGGGTGGGGCTAGACGGATTCCTCCGCAAATGGCCGCGCTCAGCTGAGCAAACAAAGTTCGGGGGGGGGGGGGGGAGCGCGGTTTAAAATTCTGCACAAGTATCGGGAATTCCTCAGGAGCGCCGGCGGTGAAGCTACTTTAAGCTCCGGACCAAGTTTTAAATAAGCTTTGAAAGTTTTTCCGCCGCGTTTAAGTTTGATATTGTATTCCGAGCGCATCGAACTTTGACTCGATTCGGACCCCTCTCACGCCGTCGTGCTCCCCCCCCCCTCCCCCCGGCTCTTACTGCACGGACGTGCTCCCCGGCCCCGTCTCCGGGAGCAAATCCCTGGCTCCGGGTATTTATATATTCGCGTCTTAAGTCCGGGCGTCGCGTCGCTCCTCGAGTTTTGGATGGCGTCTTTTTATGGCTCACGTCCGTCATTCGTCTCTCGCAGCGCGCAAAAAGATTTAGCCCCTCCCCCGCCTCTCGAACGACAAAAAAAGAAGAAAAAAATAGTGGCGGAAAATCTGCACTGAACAACTGACATCGTATTTTACTTTTGAAAGGAGGATTGAATTCTGGACATGTGACGGGACCTAGATCAAACCAAGTTTAAGTACAATGGCGGATCCAAGGGGAGGGTGTAGAGGATTTACCCCCCCCCCCCCCCGGGTTCCATATATGGATCCAGGGAGCGTAGCCCCTCCCCCCCTCATTGAGAAATGAGGACAAAAAAGAAAGAAGAAAAAGAGAGGAAAGAAGGAAGGAAGGATGCTTTGATTTTGTAATTATTCACAACGAAATTGACTCCAACTGCATGCATGTTAGATACTTTAAAATTTTGAAAATGTTCGTGTTTGTTCTATTTACTGATATCATTTTTTTATTAAATTTCAGCACTTTTCTGGCTCGAAGAACCAATGGCAGATAAGTCGACATATTCCACGGCTAAGAACAAGGATACAGGACCACCAGACAGGGTGAGGATCTAAGCGCTATCCGACATTTTTGCTCAACGTAATTCTACGCAGAATGTACTCAACATCCGAAATATTTCTAAAAATAATCAAAGTCAATCAAATCATTTCTTCAAAGTAAATGTTTGGTAAGTTACTAGATCGTCTTTTCATAAATATGTTCCTGTCCTTGTAATGAAAGACAGCTCTATATAAACTTTTAAAAAAGATCTACATCGTGAAATAAACTAAAACTAGAACATAGTTACCCTCAGTCTGACTTCGAAAGACTTCTGTTTTTCGACGAGCGGTTAATTTAATCTTCTGAATACAGATAAAAACGTCTACCACGCTCTAAATGAGATTTTGATGGGGAAAATATACGCATTTTGATACTGTATTTCCATTTCTATCTATTGGCAGTGGAACCATTTCCTGAAATTAGTTCCAAATTTTGGAAATTTTGCAGTTTTTCGGAACCTTACCCGGCATCTTAGGGATTCCCAGAATATCCCAGAATCCACCTATTTTCAAAATTTCGGAGTGTTTCGTTAATTGTACCGATTATTTGATCAGATTTGATGAGTATCTTTATCCAATTCGAGAATCTTCGGGGCTCAATCCGGTCGTATTCCTAAATTTTTCCTCGGGACTTTTGAAGAAGCTGGAATTTTTCTTTAAATTTTTAGAAACCGGGATTAACTTTGGCGGGTCCTCTGGAATCTTTGGCAGCAGTGTCTACTGGTCCACTCCGCAAATACACGTCTGAATTGCGACGACGATCATCCAGAAACCCGGCGGCAGCGGCGCGGGGCTAAATTATGAAAGGCGAAAAACAAGGAGCCGGATCGAAAACAGAGAAATAAAGCAGAGAAAAACAAAACGGGAACGAAATCCAGAGGGTGCGGGAGGGCGCGCCATTAGGAGCTAGACTCGAGCGCTACAGAGATTTACTAGTGCAACTGTTTTTATACCGGGAAAGGGTTATTTTTGTTAGGCGCTAATGATATTTATGACGCTTTTAAAAGCTGCAGGGGTGAAAATTCCAATCCTAAACATCCCTTAAACTTCAATTTCCTTCTCCTTCCCCCCTCATTCGTCTTGTTTACGGCGCGGCTTACATTTTAAATTGCTTTCTGCTCTCGCCCCTCGCCTCCGGCGGGTCTTTTTCTTCTTCCCTCATCAGCGGAGCACATCTCTTATACTTTATACTTTTTCGCCGCGGGATCCCTTATCGTCCGCTTTTTTCGCTTATTTATTCCTCGAAATCACCATTTTAATATATCTGCTCCAATTACGCCCCTGGCCACAGCATTAAGAGCCACTGAGTGGTTCCCGCCGACCCGCCCGCTTTTCCTTTCCGTCGCTACTCGATGCATTTTTGATTAAGACGTAAATTGAATCATATTGCGTTTTTAACGAAGGAACTAACTGTAGAGTGCTCTATAACGACTGCTGCAATTCCTTACAGCGCGTCGTTTCCTTCACGAAAGAGCGTAACTGCATTTCAATGTTGCCAAATTTCCCTTCAAAAATTACAATTTTACCTGTAGAATCTTGAGCATACCACTCTGGATTTCACTGATTTTTCATCTGATCTCATGCGAGTCGGATATTTTTTGGCAAAACAAGCACATCCATGTAGAAAATCGAATTTTTGGAGCCAAATTTGCAATCTTGGAATGAAGTTACGTTCCTCCGTCCGGGGAACGACAATCAGTCTACGATATTCTCAGTTTAAAGTTTGAAAGAGTCTATACAAGTTTCCAGTTTACGCGCCTGCGTTTCGATGATTTTTTAATGGCTGAGACATTCTTTGCAGAAACAATGTTTCAGCTTTGGAATGCTGCTCAAATTAGGCAACTATATTTTCGATAAGTAACTACAAACATACTGATGAATTATATAGTAAAAAAACGAGTGAAAATTCGTTAGACTTTTGGGGTAAAACTCTACGTACAACCTCCACATCATTTAGATGAAAATTAAGAACGACGTTGCATAATCTGAGGGGAACTGGAAATTTTTAAGGTTTCCCTACAAAAAATGACTCAAAAGAGGGACAGAAATTAAATATTGTTGCCTTGAACTTGTTAACTCAGTCTGTATCTTCAATGCCTTGTTTTCTTTTTCTTACTTCCCTCTCTTGTCACTTATTTTTTACTGTTGTACTTACTCAATTCTCCAATGGATCTGCTCAATTACTACTGCTGCATCTTTCTCTTCCTAGATTTCTTCCTATTTTCCTTTTTTGCTTTAACCGTAGGGCATTTTGATTGCCGTATAAGGTAGTTCATTCAATACAAAAACTTGAATAAGATCATTGTTTTTCCTAAGGCCACGTGTAAAAGCAACAGACTACTTTGATTAATTCCATGTGTTTTGTGATGGAGTTTTCTTAGTTAACACTATATTGCCGATTCTGTATATTGTCGTGTTGGAGTCATCACTTCTTTTGCAAGAGACTCAAGGAACAAGAAAGGGTAAAAAACAAGAAAAATAACAATAATGTAAGAGGATGAATCGATGAAGCTTATATTATGGGATGAGATGAGTTTTCTGAATCATTAAAAATTCCTAAACTTATGGTGAGAATTTATGGAGCATGACAGCAACGACTCCATAAAACTTTCATCGCTGACGCATCCCGTACAAGTATCTAACAACTGACATTAATTCGCTGAAAAGATCAGATGGTTCATAGAAAACTCAGAGTATGACTCAGTGGCTAAGCATTCTCTAGCATCCTCTTTTTTTCTTCGTTTTTTTTTTGCACCCGCGTAATCCGATTCAAAATTCTGCGATAGCCTCTAAGATATCGAACCGCGGTAGGTAGGCAATTAAACATGCGCCCGATTCTCAGAAAACCGAGTTTTAAAAAGGGGGGGAAAAAAGAAGAAGAAAAAACAGTAGAAGGAAAAGGACCGGGCATATATGTTACTTTTGAATCGAATGCTTGACATCTTTGAGGACAGGTAGGATGCTCAGCCGCTTTGAGCCCGGGCTCCGATCGCACGTATATAATTACCATTACCCTCTATCACGATGACATTGGGGGAGCCGGGGGTCTCAAAATCGCCTGCAAAACTCGCCTTTTTCACGTGGGGAACCGTTGCTCGAGAACGCTATCTGGCAATGAGGGGGACCGGGTTTAATAAAGATATCAACAACTTCCATTTCGGACGGACCATAACTTGCGAAGAGCGGCGGCCTGGCGTACCCTGCCGCCCTCTGTCGGATTTATCATTTTCCTCTTTCGAGATGTCGAATTCATTTCCCAGGAGATGGTTATATTTAATTCGAATCGGTGCCGGGGGGGGGGGGGGGGCGACCTCCGTACCGAAACAGGTAATCGTTGAGGAAAACCAACTCCCCGGGATCCGAGAAGATATGACGCTGGGAGGAGCGTTCGTTCACTCGGGGTGTTTGCCAGATTTTAAGGGGTTTTTTCCGATTCGTGTCTAGTTTTCCGCAAAGAAATAGAAAAAAATAATAATAAATAAATAAATAATAAAAAAATAAATTACAAAATTTCAGACACCTGCAAATCAAACAAAGAGACAAAATTCAAACTGCCAAGGAAATTGCATTTAAAACGTCAAAAGTGCCTTGAAATCGGCATCCAAAGCTCTTGCGTGTACTAATTTCCCCTGATTTCGAAAATACCTTCCCGGTAAAAACTTAAAGTCTCTCTTCACAATTTCCAAAATGTTTGGAAGAATTAACCTTTTTACAGCATATTTCATTGTTTTTCGTATTTTGGGGAATTTTAAAGCATCAGGTTAAAGCGGCTTACAAGATTTATTAAAAAAAGTCGCTCTCATTGCGAAATGAGCAAAGAAGGTATGATTCTTTGGTTGCACTGATTTCCTGATTTTCCTGGAAACCTGAATGGTGAGTATTTTGTCATTTTGACAGGCATAAAACGGGACAATTAGTCTTCACCGAAAGTTTTATTATTCAACACTGTGAGATCACCTTCAAAGCTTTTGCGGGCCCTCAACTAAATCCATTATCCTGATATATTAGCCAAAATTCACATGCAGACTTTTTTTTTAACAAGTTGTGTATAATTCTTTGAGGCTCAATTTAAAATTACTGAGAGGAAACTCCCTCAAATTTTTGCTGGCCCCTCAAGTGGGATAGACATCCTGGCAATTAATCTGTCAGCAATCCCCTTTAAGGACGACTCAACCTGTCGTGATCGCACTACGAAAATTAAGTATGATTAAGCATAATAAATCAGAATATCGATGTTTAATCAAATCGGTGGATAGCCAGACCCGCCAGGCAAACGAAGGTGCAAAGAACCCAGAGAAAATGCTCACGACTATCAGTCGTGACTCAAGAGCTGTCGGGTAATTTTTGGAGCCAAAAAACCTCCAAACCAGGTACTAAATTTCCGCTGGAGCTCTGGTCGTTCCTGGACCAAATCCAGGGGAATGTGAGAAACGAATTTACTGAATAAGAATGAAAAGCCTGGTGGTGGAAAATGTTTGAAATACAGAGGCTTCCAAATCAGACGCAAGTTGTTTTATTTCGAATTAAGGTTTCGTCACTCTAACCAATGAAAATCAAAGAAAAAAGTTTCCTCGTTTAGAACAGGAACCTATCCGCATCTCATGAGCCTTATCCTGCTGAAAGAAGTACCAAAAAAATTACTGGTCTAACTTGAGTACACATGCGAGTACACATACACAAGTGAACTTATTACTTGCATTCTACACTGGAAAAAAATACATTGGATCAGAGTCCAGGCTCTTAAAAACATCGACAAGAAAAAATACTCTTGATTCAATCGGATTTTTACTTGAATCAAGAACTAAGCTTCTTAATTAGAGCGGATTTCCTTTTGATTTAAGCAAAAATCTGATTGAATCAAGAGTATTTTTTCTCGTCAATGTTTTCAAGAGTCTGGACTCTAGATCTAATGTGTTTTTTTTCCAGTGTAGGTACGTTTTTCCGCCTCCCTTTGTCTCTCCAATGATGATGGTTTAGCTTGGATTTCCCGTGAAAATCAGTTAAAGTGACCGAATTGATGATGGAAATGAAAGAGAGGAAAGTAGGAAAAGCGGGTGATCCTCTGCCGCATTCTGTATTCATACAGATTGATAATTTCATTCATTCTGGTTGTTTTTCAGGTGCGGAAAACCTGCGTCATGAGCATCTTATTTTACCAGTGTTTTCTGGGTATCTTATTCTCCTCCTACACTGTTTGAAAAAGTATACTGGGCTCCCATGGTTACTGGAGATGAGATTTAGCCAACTGCATCTCTTCTTTCGGGTCGAATTTGGCTACATATCAATACATTGGACTCGATCTCTCCTTTCGAAGCTTTTACCAGATTTCAATGGATTGGACTTCAGTTGACGGTAATCTAACTCTTGACTTATTCTAAATTATTGAAATTGCCTCTTTGTTGAAGATTCATTTCACCTGATCTACAAGTCAATCGACTCGCCATATTATCTTCAATGTTCATGGGAACACAATATTACTTTTCACGTCGTAGTGTTTTCATCTTCTCGATTCATGTTTGTCCCCTTCTTATTTTAAACTTCTTTTTCCTCGCTTCCTGCCACCTTTTCAACCCTCCTCCATCTTATCACATTTTTTTCTATTTTCCCTTTTCCAGTAAAACTCTCTAAACATCATGATTAAGTTGCACAATTTTTATGTACATATGTATATAGCCTCATTTATATCGCACTGAAGCGCACCGCGACACATAGCAGCCACTGAAATACATCGAGGTAGACATTTACCAGATCTAGCATCTCACTATTTCTTTTTACATATCCTCTTAACTGCACGGAGAAGAAAACTTCGTGCGTGGGACTCAAAGTTGAGGCCATATGGGTCTCTGAAGTTTTTCGGATCACGTATTTGAAAACTTGAGGTCCACCTGCCGAAGTTCGGATCAGACATCTGAAGTACTTCGATATATACAGAGGGGTTCGGGTCACACATCTGAAGTACTTCGGAACACACCGAAGTGCCTTGATGTCTGACCCAAACTTCCGAACTTCGGCAGTTCGACCTCAAGTTTTCGGATACGTGATCAGAAAACTTCAGAGATCTATATGACCTCAACTTCGGGTCCCATGGACGAAGTTTTTTTCTCCGTGTGTGCGCGCCTCTTTTTCCACATTTTTTGCAACTTCACGAAAAGATCACTTCTGAGTGGCTGTTGCGCCGTTAAAAAATAAAAACAAGAATTTAAACATGAAATCTGGCAACGTGGGTTTTGCAAGCGGGCGTCGGGTTCCAAGATGGCGGGGCCCGAGCGGTCATTAATCGTGATGAACTGGTCTAAGGATGCCGGGACCCCAGGAGACCCTGTGTCGTAGATTGAGACATAACTCACCTTTACCCTCGGCCGAGGCCCCCACCCCGACCCCCCTTTATCTCTTGCCCCCTCGCCTCCCCTCCGAATAACTCTTGCTCGGCGCGGCACGCACTTTCTCGCGCTACGGTCGTTATACCTCCTTCAACTCCATTAAATCCACGTTTACGAGAGCCTACCGAAATCGAACGGGAGAAAAAAAGCGTAGGAAAAAAAGGCCCCGATCGCTCGAATGGTCGGAATTAATTTTGAGGCGGGGCCTCGTTTTTTTTTGTCTCCGCGCTGATCACTTAATTCACTCCCGTTGATGAGCTCATACTCCCCGGTTAATTAACGATAAAACCACGATTGGATGGCCGAATTAACGAGTATTGGTCCGTCTTCTCGGGCCGGTGTTTTTCTTCTCCTTCTTCTTTTTTTTCTTTTTCATTTGAATAATTAACCTATGAGATCGATTTAGGATGGGGCAGAGCATCCTTGGAGATTGGTCTTGGTCTGTTAGGGAAAAATCTTGAATTTCGTGTGAACCTAAAGGTTGGCTCTTGGTGATTGGGTGGATCCAACAGAATCCATCAGCTGCATTTGAGGGGCTCTAAGGACAAGGCGCAGCAGTGCAGGTTTTGCTATTTTGAAAAATACGTGCTTGAAGTTTCGAAATTATATGGATCCTTAGGGCGGGAAGAAAATTTGAACTGACTTTTTGATGCTTAAAAATTGGAATTTGGTTGCGAATTTTTCACGGAATATGCATGAAGACTACTTTTACTTGAAATCATTACACGAAGAGAAAAACTTCGTGAGTGGGACCCGAAGTTGAGGTCATATGGATTTCTGAAGTTTTCGGATCACGTATCTAAAAACTTGAGGTCGAGCTGCCGAAGTTCGGGTCAGACATCGAGGCACTTCGGTAGGTACCGGAGTACTTCAAATGTGTGACTCGAACCCTTCGGTATATATTGGAGTACTTCAAATGTCTGACCCGAACTTCGGCAGCTGGACCTCAAGTTTTCGGATGCATGATCAGAAAACTTCAAAGATCCATATGACCTAAACTTCGGGTCTCATGCACGAAGTTTTTTTCTCCATGTAATGACTCAATTTTTTCAAAAACTGCACTTACGCGCCTTGTCCTACAAGCTCCTCCTTTAAGACTATCTAATTTTCTCTCATGATTTAGTTTTTTAACAGAAAATCTTTTTATTGGGATGCAGGAATTTTTTCTCCTGCTAGCCTCGTCACTTTTTTTTCTGTAGACCTTGTTTCCAATCTGATTTTGCACGATTTACCAATTGAGCTCTACGGTCGAATGTAGCAGGACAGTCCTGTGGAATGTGACCAAGCTTAGCGAGAAAATCAATGGCATTACGTCCGAGAATTGCGCATCCCGTTTGTCAGGTGAATAACATTGCATAGACGACTAAACACGACTTCAAACGCGAGAAATCTCAATCGTTTTTTCTTCCATTTCCTTCTTCCTTAACGCGTGCATTGTGAAATTTGGTTTCAGTAAAAAATCTTTCAAGTCACAAGGAAGCGTCATGACTACTGTAGTCAGATATTGTAGGCATTGTAGTCAGACATTGTAGTCTAATCGGTATTCTGTTACACACTCCTAAAAATCAAAATGAAATTATGCCTTAATTCTCGCTCAAAGGCCGCAAAAATGAAAATCTTATCGCATTGTATGGAGAATGAAAAATTACTTAGTAATTTCATGTCTTAATTACTTTGGGATAAATTTTTATACAATGTTTCAGTATTCGGAGAAGAAGAACATGCGAACAATCTGACCACTTTCGGCTGTTCAGAACCCTCAGAAGAAGTTGATTTGAATCGCACAGCTTTCGTGGAAAAACTGCAAATTCGCGCCAGAACAACCAAGGTTACGTAAGACAGGATGCAATAAAATTTGGCCGAAACCGGAAAATACGTCAAAGGAAAAGTTTGAGCATTGCCTCCAAGAAATTAGTCTTTTTTCTCTAAGGAAGAAACTTATTCACAAGAAAAAAGCAAAGATGCTTTGCGAATGGAAGACTATAACATAAACCATAAAGCAACCGTAAGCCATTTTAGAATTTTACATAAACCCAAATTGTGAATGTATATTAACAGAACGATATTGACACTATACGAAAAAGCTGGTTCCAACGATGAAACGGAGATAAAGTCGAAAAATGTAGTCAATGTTTTAGTCGTTGAAATTTTTCAGTTTTCAAAACTGTTGATCGAACGTGACAAATTTTACAAGAGGGCATTTTTCGGCAAAAAGGCGTAGGAGACTTCCAATGCAGCTAAGATTGTGCAACGTAGTTCTCTTGTTGTAAGTATGTTGTACGAAAGTTCTGCAGTAAATTTTTTCCTCACTAATGAAAGGAAGTAAGTCGACTGTGAATGAATTATATCTATCGCAAACGATATTAAAAATTGCACACCTCAGCAGCATTGCAAGCCTCACACGCCCTTTTACCGAAAAAGTCCTCGGTACTAAAACTTGACTTCTCATAAGTTTCCTTTAGATTTCATAATTACCTTCCCAATGATTTATGTTCCAAATTTTCTCATCGCTTTAGAGTTTCAAAACCGACTCGACGCAGCCATAAACCGGGAATACATACAAATACAATCGAATAAATCTCAAAGTAAACGCCCTCACACACACCCAGAGAACGGCGATAATGGAAGGGGTTGAATACAATCAAATATCATGGTCTGTTAAGCTTTACAATACATTAAATCAGACTTGGGTAGTCAAAGGGTTGCGTTTTAATCCACTTTAATGTTCCTAGCAGGATTATTTCAGTCCTGGATTAATTCCCGCCGCTGGTATTATCTTTGCCCGGGCCACAATAAACACTCATCTAACTCATTCTAACACCCACACAAATCCCTGCACCCCCTTACCCCTTCCGCCGCCTGGGGGTGGAATAAATGCAACATCCCCAGCGAAAACCACCCCCTCCGCCGCCTCCCGGATCCCCGTAATCAGGACGTATGAATATTAGTTTCGCTCGTTCGGTCGAGGCATAAATTTGATACGGTTCCACAAAATTGGCTTTTTCAATCTTGTATGATTAAAATTTCCGCCGGGAAGGAAGCTTGGCTGAAATTCAAACGACCCTACTTATGCAGGCAAGCTTCTGGGGAAAAATGTGGGGCTGAGATCCAGAAAACGAGTGAAATGCGGCAATATAGTACCGCAAACCCCCCTTTTTTCATCGGTTTTCATTTTTCAGCCCCGAAAAAGGATTCGCTATCCACAAAAGTACCAGAATTTGTCGTCTCTCGGTCGGAGGCACGTAACTCCATTCCAAGGTCACAAAATTACATCAAACGATTCGATTTTTTACGAGAGTATACCGCATAATTTTCGTCGAAATTTGTCTGGATTTTGCATGAGATTAGAGGAACAGTTGGTGAAATTTTCAGTTAGAAATTCTTAAAAATTTTCTGGTGAAAATGCAATTGGCGCGAAAAAATCTGGCAACATAGAAATTTAGTTACGTTCTTATGTAAGGGAAACGACAAATAGTGAAAAGTAGAGAAAATTTTTCAAATTTTGAATTATAAAATGAGGAAAACATGCGGTTGCTTCACGCTAACAGTGACCCTTATTGAGCTAACGAATGAAAATTCTTGAACTTGAAAATTACATTTTCTAATCGACGATGGTCATTACATTTAGCCATAAAATTGAATTGTAAAAATTGCAATTCGAGAAATTCTTAAAGTATGAATTATGAATTCCCTTTAAGAACAAGATGAATCGAATTTTGAAAGATATGATACTGGACAAATTTTCTCGGAAATTGAGTTTAAATATAAGACTATTGTGAACGTACAAACTTGGGACATTATCTTCAGAAACTCCTGGTAGTATAATATTGGGGCACATTGTAAGTAGTATGCTATTATATAATAAAGGCCTTTAGATGCACGTTTTAAAGTTTTTGACGGAAATAAGTAATTATTTCGAAAGTTTCAAACATGTTTAAACTTTAAATGATGGTCTACGGCCGCGGCGGTGTTAGTTATAATGGCGGGCCTGATTCCATAACCAACAAGTTAGCGTGCGGTTTTATTTTTACGACAAAGCAGCACGCGCCACACCTCTTTATGAATGATAATTCTCTCACTCAATGATCCGTAAAAGCCGTAACTCGCGGACCGCTTCATTGACACCAACTATTCTAACTTTCGGTCCAAATAACATCGACAGCGTCCCAAACATATTTCAACAAAGCAGATGTGCAAAAGACAAAGAAACTTATCCTTCTTGCAGCCGGAGTCGAGTGCACTTAATCACACTGCAATACAATTAACTGTAACCGCTCATATTTTACTCCTCTTTTATTCCACCACTTGAGATAATACCGACCTATCGAGCGCATGTGTGCTTGGATTCCAATAAACGAGCAAAAAATATTTTCGGGCGAATTATTGGGTTTTGCTGGAAAACGCGGTTGGTTAATATGAAGAGGTTCAATCAACGCGAGTGAATCGGGAAAGGGGCTATTGGACGGGAACCGGACATATTTATTTTCGAAACAGACGAATTGTTCTACTGTGTGCTTCTGCGGTCAGCTGCCTATTATAACTTCATCATAAAAGCAATCACTTTTCATTCACCCCAGGAAAAAAAATTCCGGAATGAAATTTGATGCTTCCATGCTTTTTCCATTCATTTTCATTTTGGTCGCATGTTCTGTTTCATTCAAGGTTTGCTATATAGAAAAATGTTGCTTTGCAGAACATGATTGACTATGTGTAAGACTTTGCATCCTCTTTTAATTTTAGGAAAACAACATGATCCGAAACTTAAAAGCTTTGATTGTATCCTGGAGAAGAACATTCATTTAATGAAAAAAAATGATCCTGTAAGTACCGTTTATTGGTCTGTTTTTATTTTTCAATTTTTTCCATTTAGTTTCATGCAATGGATTTACGGTCGACAAAAAAGTTGTGCAATATCAATAGCAATCAAGAGCCGATAGCTCTTCTACACAAAATACTGTCAAAATTATCGGGCCAATAGAGTGATATCATTCGTGGTACGAGATTTTTACTCAAGTAGGACTGGAGGTATTCCTCCTCAAATTAGTTTTGCACTTTAAACCGTTCAAGAAAACTTATTTTTTAATTTTTGAGACACGTATGTATTAAATTCATCTTATGGCGGGAAAAAACAAGTAGCACGATGTAGATCATAAATTTCACGAGACCTTATCCAATGCGAGAATAAAAAGCAAGAAAAAAATGTATGCTTTTTTCTGTATTCGTGTTTGTTAAATACACCGGCAGCTCATAGGCATCAGACTGGAAAACACGGTGCTAAATCATGATTAAACCTGTCCCAAATGAAGAAAAACTTACATCTCTGATGAGGATTGGAATGCTTGCGTCTTTTTTAAATAAACGATTCAACGAGGCATCAACACGTGTCTTTAATTATGCCGTGAGGTCTTTCGATGGTACCACTGCCAGATGACGACGGGAAGACAGTACTCGCGTGCGCATGTATTTTTTTCTCGTAACCTTCCCCTTTTTTGTAAAATAAGTGATCGTCTGGAATCATCTGAGTTCATAAAGATGTCGTCATGTGACTCCTCCTACCATTCGGGCGGGGTTCTTAATTAAGCCTAGTTTAACAGAGACGGAGCCGAATTGGTAGCTTATTCCAGGAATGATGCACCTAATCCTTGATTTTCCCGATGTAAATAATTATTTTCATGAACTTAATATCAGCGCGCGCTTTTCAACTGCACGCTTTTTGACTTTTGATTTTTGCGATGGGCGAGATGCATCATTTTGCGCATTTGAATACGTACAATAACAAGGAATGTTAAAAATCAGTGTAGGTCTCCTTCGAAGAGTCAGCTTTTGCATATTTGAGTAAAAGAACGAAATTTTAGGAGGTTAGACTAGGTTTTGGTATTTCTCTTTTCCTGTAAAACTCGTGGAATAGCATCAGAGTAGATGTACCCTCAGATTGCCCGAATGGATTCTGACGGAACTATAATTTGGCACATTGATTGCTCTTAGGTGACAATGATTGAATACACATGAAGGATTGAAGGCATGTTCTCTCACCACTTTTCAGCGGGAGACGTTTTACAGAGCCCTTCCATTTGTTCGAAAATCGCAAAAAACTACGTGAATACTTGAGGAGCAGGTATATATAAATCCACTTAACCATTAAATTGTTTGAAATCAACCAAAAAAGAAGAATACATTACTTCGGTATCAAAAAATACCAATTTTATACTGATTTTTTTTTTGGCTAAAATAATTTTTGTTTAAAAATCTATTTAAAAACCAATGCAGGACTAGGCTAGGTGCTAAGTTATTTTCCTCTTCAAGATTTAACGTAAAAAATGAAAGGAAAGTTTGGGAACCAACTCCTAAAGAAGAAATGAATACATATGTGTACTCAAAAATAATAGCTATACCAAAAAGACTTGTGCAACTTATGTTCTATCTGACCAATGTTAGCATACACATTAAAACCTTGCTTAGGAGTTGACTTCAAAACTTCGCGGAAACAGCGCATGAATCGCCTTGGTCAAAACATTTAGCAGAGTAAACATGTAATTTCATCCCTTAATTATTACTTACTTGGTGGCCAATTATGCCCAACAAAGTTTTTCTCTAAGGCGAGTGGGAGGAGTTTTCGTGTATCATTCGTTCCTCTCTTTGCTACACTGAAAAAAAAGGGTTTGGATTTTTGCCGGAATATCGGTGTACAACACCAACTCCGGATAGCTGATATGGCCCCAGCTAGTTATTTTGGATAGTAGGCAAACCCGATTTTGGTATCTACGCTGACTCGGAAGTTTAGCTAATATCTAAACTAGTTAGGCATAAATCTAAACCTGGTTTGGATCGCTAAATTGAAGCATCGGCAGCAAATTTTGGGGTTTGTAGCCAGGGGACAGTTGAAAAGAGCCCCCCAAATGGATTATTTACGGAAATAATGTCTAAAACCGCGAAAAATATGGTCCACGAGACCTTTTAGAGGCATATTTCTCGATATTTACGTGCAGAATTTTTTTGACCT